GGGGGGGGGGGGGGAGGGCCAAAAGGGACCTCATGCAGTCATCTAGTCCAGCCCCCTGCTCAAAGCAGTATCCTCCCTGAACTAAACCATCATAGCCAAATATCTGTCTAACCTGCTCTTGAAAATTTGTAGGGATGGAGATTCCCTAACCTCTCTAGGGAGCCTGTTCCAATGCTTGACCATCCTCATAATCGGAAAGTTCCTCCTTGTTTCCAGCCTAAATTTCCTCTTCTGCAGCTTGAGGTCATTTGTCCTAGTCCTGTCCTCTACAGCCACAGAGACTAACCCATCTCCAGTTTCTTTTTTAATCTCATCCAGGTATTTGAAGACTGTTAAGAAATCCCCCCTCAGTCTTCTATCCTCCTGACTAAATAACCCGAGTTCTTTCAGCTTTCTTCTTAAGTCATCGTTCCCAGGCTTCTAATAATTTTTGTCACTCTCTGCTAGACTCTTTCCAATCTGTCCACATCTTTCTTGAAGCGTTAGACCCAAAACTAGACATAGTACTCCAGGTAAGGCCTCACCAGTGCTGAATAGGACAAAAAAAATTGCCTCCTTTGATTTGCAAGAGACTTTCCTATTAATACAACTGTAAGAAGGTGTTCAGCCTTCAGGGGGATGAAGCTACAGCTGTAGGTAGGTAGCAGGTAACAGTTTGCCTGGCTGGAAGGAAGCTGCAACTGATGTTTATAAATGAGGGTTGAGCCACTGATGGGGGTTAAGAACTTCAGGAGCAGAGTGCAAGGGGAAATGCAAGGAGGCTCTGGTGCAATGGATTAGAATAGAGTCTTCCTCTCAGGGTTTGCAGAAAAGCAGCAGGTTTTGATTTTGTTTCTTTCAGTTGTTTGCACAATTACTTATTTAGCGGTTTGTTTTGTTGGTGTGGAGACAAGGTTGCCCTATGCAAATAAGCTAGCTGGAAACCCTGAACCCAGAGCTAACTGGCTTTGATAAAGAAGCTGGATGAGTGACACACTTAACAACAGAGGGTGCTGTTGACTTTTTTTTTTTTTGCACCGAGGGTGCACGGTTAGTTCATATTCAGCTTATGGCCCTCTGTACACCCCAGGCTCTTCTCTGGAGTACTGCAGCCTAGTCAATATATACGTGTATAAAGACATCAGCATTATAAGCCACACTTTGAAAAGTCTTTACAATAGAATCTACCTTGGTTTTATATTAAGCAGCTTTCCCAACTGTACTATTACACTAAAGGTGATTGAAACAGGTTTGTAGTTCACCTAACAATTTCCCAGTGAATAGCCATCAAAACATATGCCAACCCATAATCTAGCTGTTAAGAAAATATTAGCATTGAAATCCATACTGAGGTGCTGTTTTAGTAAGCAGCCATCAAGAATTGGAATTAAAATCCAAACTGGATTTTAATAAAAGATGGGTCACAAAGTTCTGTCATGTACATAATACTTTCCTGTCTTGAGCCCTTTTAATAAAAAAAAGATGAAATGGAAGAATAATACTCCTAATGTACTCTTAATAATTTATACTGTCAAAGTGTGGTGCCAGAGCTCAGCTGGGCCTACTGTTATCATCAGAAAGGCCTTATCAGCTATAGTGTTCATGTATAAATTATACTCCCTTGCAAGCCTCATAAATCCTAATTAGCTTCAATTCTGAAGCCTTAGAGGCTGTATTCAAGGGGAGCATGGTATCTCATTTTGCAGCAGGATCTCTCAAGAAGCAAAGCATAGCAGTAGAAGAATAATCTGATACAAGGTTAATAACCTAAGGGTATCATGTTCAAACCTGACATCTTTCATCAGAAAATTGCCAGTCTTCCAGTTTGGTTGCTCATAAAAGAGAAGATAGAAGAAGCAATAGAGATAAAAGGGAAACATTTACAAAGAGGAACGTGGGATTTTAGCAACGCAATTCTTACTAACCTCATTTTAAATATATCCATGGCTGGCTTACATAAACGTCAGTATTTTATCTCACTGTGATTTACAGTGTAAACCCTTGGAAGCCTGAATCTGAATTGTTTCCTTAGTCATTAATCCCTCTACCTCACAGTAGTTTGCTACTGGAAGCTTGCTGAAGCATACTGTATTACTGACTTACAGCAGTTTGAAGAGCCAATCTAGTTTTTAAAGGCTGCCATCTTGTGCCCCAGCAAAGAGTCCAGACCCTCAACCCAGAGCCAGCCTTAGGGTTGTGCAACATGGGTGATTGCCCAAGGTACTATGGTCACAAGGGAGCCACACACACACACACAGATGTGTGAGCAGCCCAGTCACAGCAGCACTGTCCCCTCACCCCAGGCAGGAGGAGCAGTACCCAGCCCAGCCATCTCCACCACCTCCAGCTGCTGTTCTGGAGAACCTGGGCCAGGCAGTGTGGGTGGCAGGCAACACCATACTGCTCCACCTCCCTGCTGGACTGTGCCCCGTGCCCCTGCCTGCCTGCCTCTACTTGCAGCAGCACCACTGACTGGGGGGGTGGGAGGAGGCACCAGAATACAAGTTCACCCAAGTCACCATTTTCCCTA